TAGTCCGTTTATTAAGAATTTCCCGTTTAAATTCTTAGATTACCCTTTTACTTTGTTGGACCGGATGCATTGTCTTAATGACATTATCAATTTTTGGAGCGCATAATTACAAGAAAAATATTATGGCCAACGAAAATATAATCATCGCCTTTCAGTGCATTGCTCCATTTGCTTGGACAGTGGGATTTGCTTGGTTGACAGTGGCTTGTGTGTCACGAAACGGAGGTAAGGAAATTCTAATTATCTAGTATTCACGGTCTATTTTTTTTCATCTAAATATAGTTATAAATAAAAACATTTACGGCGCTTTTGCTGTTCTCTGTATAATCTACTGTTAATTGTAATATTAACATTTATAATTTTTTTAATTGCGTTTGTGAACTTAGTTTTAAGCTTTAGCTGAAGTAAAATATAATTCGCTAAATTATACATAGCCTATGTACTATATTTGGGAAAATAAATACGGTAACTAAATTAATTAAAGTTGTTTAGATAATTATTAGTTTCATATCGTAAAGTGTATTTATATTGTCTCCAATGTATATTATACTACATGAAAAAGTTCACTTACTTTACCGATACAGTTATACTGGATATTCGCAGTTAATTAAAATGAATACTCTAAAAGTTGTACGTAGTTCAGTTACATTTTTTGTTGTGACTAGAATAATTCGATTTTCTTTATTTTCCGAAATAATCCGTTTTTGTTTAAAAGTTTTTATTTATTATCCACTCGAAAAAAATTAAATAATCACTTAACCGTAAACAGTATTTTGTGTACATTTACGTTCTTATTAAAGTTTAATCGTCACGTTATAAAAATTTAAACTTTTTTTTGTTTATTTTCAGGAACCCTCAATCGTTTGTTATCTCTTCGTATTTTTGTGGTGTTAAACAGTCTGAATGTTTGGATATATCTGCTTCACTTGCTAATTATCTGTTATGTTATTTGCAGTATGCGAAAGGCTACAGGTGTTTTACAGTTTAATATGGTAAAGTTGAAAATTTTCATTTTCTGCAGTACATTTGCATATCTGACTTTAATAATGTGCTGGGTGATCTATGCACTTCAATTCCCGTGATAATTTTAGTTATTCTTAGGGCTAGGTCATATAGGCATAAAAATTTGTTTAAGGGTAAAAAATGGGAAAACACAGACAAACAATATGTACAGTACTTAAAAGTTAAAAATAGACAAATCAGTAGACTTTACTAAAAGCAGCAATTATTTGTTACATCTATATTTATCCATAGAATTTTCGGCATATTTTATAATTTTGAAGCTAAGGAAAGAAATAGATAAAAGAACGTTTTTATATTTTATTACAAGGATTTCGAAATCGTTTTTGCAAAGTACTACACGTAATTTTTTCAAATTAGTGTAATGCTGTTTTTCAAAAAGAAGTTCAGCATTGTTGCGGTCACCTTTACGAGAAATCTCAATCGATGAAAAATGTGCTGCTCACGTGTTTGAATGGCTTTTTATATCTATTTACGCTTCTTCTGGTGGTGAGGAGAACTTCACATTTCGGCCGCAACAATAGTTTGTAGAAATGATCACTTGCTGTTTAAATGAGAGAAACTAACTGTAAACACTGCCCGATGTCATTGCTGCATGCTCTATTGCACCGATTTTACTTGGAAAATATTTATAGTCAGATGTAATTGTGCACGTTCTTGATAAAATTTCTGCAATATTCCTTACTGTTACCCAATCTGAATTCGTTTTTGTGATTTGTAGCAATTGTTCCAGGAGCTGTGGAAAGACTGTTCTTAGTTTTATACAGTATATCAACAGTTTTCACCAGTAGCAGATTTTTGCTTTCCAGTTCAGTATTCCATCTCCGATAGTCCCACCACTACCCGTTACAGTATCTGCATGAGCATACAAGCAAGTCCCACCGACATACGTGCAATACCACTTTCAACTAGACATTATGAACCATTGTCATAAACATCAACCTGTAGATTTGTGCTATTCACATACCAGGTGTATTTTATACACCTCTCAATACTGAGCACAGTATGCTGTATATAATACGTTAAAATTTCAGCAGGACGTTTATGGACGTCACTGCTGCTCTTACTGTGCCTTCTCTGAGCAGGAGAGGACACCATAAAACCCTACAAATCTATGTTAAAAACCTATATACAGTTAAACTCTATATATAAAACTTCAAATTTATATAATATATAACCCTTATAATTATATTGAAACCATATATAAATAAGACCTACATATTTCATATTATATATACTATATATAACTACTATAATATACTATACTAGCTGTTACCCGCGACTTCGTCAGCGGAGGTTTTGCAAGCAAACCCCATTTACATCCAATATTTCAATAACCATAGTAATTGTTATATAACACCTACCGCTGAAGAGAATTGCCGAAAATCAAACGAACTATTTTCAATTTGATCAATTTTCTGAAACGTTTACAATCGTTCTATAATCGAACCNTAACTACTATAATATACTAGATAATACTATATATTTAACCAGTTTGATCAGGTTAATTAAACCCTGGGACTTTATCTCAAACTATGTACTGTACAGTACAATACATCAGTATATCATAAAACAATATAAATCTATGCACCGTAACATCATAAAATAAATATAAATAAAAACCTGAATTATACTCCATTCTTTTAAACTATCCTACGTATTAACACCTTCTTTATAACTTTGTATTCATTATAATATATTACCTTAGTGTGCAGTAAGTTGGTACAGACTTCACCAAATGCAACATTATGGGAGGAGACTATAGGCCTATTAAGTATATTCTTTAATTCCTCTATCTCGTTGTAAAAAATACTACACTCTAACATAAAATTCTGTAGGGTGTAGATGGCACCACACTCGCAAAAGTCACTCGATGAATTGGAACGACTACAGTTTATTATTTACTTTACAGCTGGATGCATAGGTAGACGCTAGATATAAATTAGTTTTAAAGTCACCATGACAACCTAATACTTGGGAAGAATAATAATTCGGTTATATTTTATTTATAATATATTTTATTTATAATATATTTATGTACAAAAAATAATATATTTTTCGTACATAATTGGTTATCCGAACAACCCCAATTTCCAATTGATTCGGATGTTCTACTGTATTACGGAAAAATCCATAAGTTGATCAAAGCTTTTGATCAAACTTTTGACATATGTAGTACAGGGTCACTTTATAGTAGTCTATTATTACAAAACTTTTATACCCGATATACACTCTACTGATTGTCACAATTTTCTTAAGCTAGGCACCAATTGGCTACCTACTCAGCGAGGTAGACCCTCTTAGAAAGTGATCTATACAGTAACTTAAACTCACTTTTTATTTTTTCTAAAGAGACTTTCTTACCATAGAGAGTATTTTCATTTAATTCACTTACGTGTTTAATTACCTCTTTTTTCAACACGTCGTTTAAACACATTCTTGGCCATTTTTTGGCAGTTCTACAACTAACTCAATATACTTCCACTTTTCATTATGTAAGAACTTATCAAGGATATCTTTAGAAGCTAGGGTCACAACAATCCCTGAGCTCTTCATCTTACACATGCTACTTGTTCTTACTTTAACGCTGTGTTTGTTTATAATATACCCTGCGACCGCTCCTAAAACGGCAATTATGATAAAAGACAATTGCACGTGTACTGTGTTGATAATTCTGCTTTGAGTTTAAATCATTGACAATACTGTATTTGATTTTAACGTTAGTTTTTCTCGAGAAGTAGCAAGTGGCTGTGCTGTGTTTAAATCAGTAAATGAAATATACAGTATATCCGTATCAGTATAATATTTTTGCATTTACATAGTTTTTGTGTTTAAAAAGTAGATGATGTAAGAGAATTATTGTGTTTTACAGCAATTGTGGTTATTTATTATCATTGAAAAGGATTATGTTGTGACAATAGGGACTCGAATTAAAAAGGAGCATTTACATGGACTGGATATATATCAGGTGCGGAACGTGTGCCTGTGTGTGATAGAGAGTTACAGTATTTAGGTAATATTGGACTACTTTTAGGTTCTGTGTGTGATAGAGAGAATTGCTTAGAAAATATTTGCATTTGCTACTTTTGCGTTTGTTATTTTTTGCTCTATTTTTACTGAATTTATATACGTTGAAGTGAAGACAATACAATGACAAATTAAGGAAAGGCGTATGTGAAAACGGCTGCTAGCTGTCGATTTGACAGATGTTCGTTATCTGTGTAATAACAGATGAGCCCGGTGTTGCTCGAGCAAAACTAACGATAGCGAAGATTAAGATTATTAGATTATAGCTGATCTTACCCGTTTTCATCAGTACAAGAATTAGGTCTCACTCTCCCGCGATTAATTAGAAAATTTTTACATAGTCTGAAAATATGTTCGATTATCTGCAAAAACGCAAAAAAACCGCATCTAAAATAGTACAGTAAAGCCGAGTTCTTTACCATAATCCTTAATCCTCTCCCTTTCCCTGGCGGGAGGGATTTCGAAAAAACCCTTCTTTGTGTACGTTCTCATGACGTACCTTAACTGTGTACCAAATTTCAACCTTCAACCCCTAACCGTTTGGGCTCTGCGCTTATTATTATTATTATTATTATTATTATTATCAACCCATCTCGATTATATATACCGATTATATTCTGTTACCTACAAATCATACTATGAAACTCATTTCTATCATTATTTTATTTACCCTATTTTAATAGTGTAGATAAAATAACGATAGTTCAACACGAGGTCATCGCGAGTCTGATAAATGGTCTGTGACTTATCTAAGCAATAATATACAAGATGAATTGATAAATTTGATGGGAAATGAAATTATAAGAAAAATTGTCGAAATAACAACAATCGCTAAATATTTTTCGATAATCGCCGATTGTACCCCAGACGTAAGTCATATTCAACAGCTCTCATTAACAATAATAGTTGTCGCTTTTAACTCCATTCAAAATACATATGAAATCGAAAAATTCTTTATTGGTTATTTTGAAGCTTGTGATTCAACAGGAGAGGATTTGACAGAATTTATTCTGACAAATTTGGAAAAGTTAGGTTTCGAGTTAAAGTGGCTTAGAGGACAAGGCTATGACAACGGAACTAAAATGAAAATAGTAAAAAAGGGTGTACAGTTCAAAATAGAATACTTGAAAAATATCCAAGGGCGTTTTATGTGCCCTGCGCGCGTCATTCTTTTAACCTAGTTGTGAATGATGTCTTCTTCTACAGAAACAATACTATTATTCTATTGTACAAGAACTTTACACTTTTTTTCTGGATCTACAAAGCGTTGGGAAGTGCTAATAAATGTTTCACAATTAACTCTAAAACCATTGAGTGCTACAAGGTGGTCAAGCAGCGATTTCAACTTTGCGAAATCTATGATGCATTATTCCAAATAATAGAAGACGTCAACAGAGATGCAGAAACTAAAGTTAAAGCAAGAGGGTTAGCAAACATATTAAAAATTACAGTAGATTCACTATAACACTTTAGATAATTCCGTGTTATATGAATTCCATGTTGTACGAATCACTTACGGGACATTCCAATTTTCAACGCGAGTGTTGAGTGTTGAAGTCAACAATTTGACGTCATCAACGACGTTCCAACTCGAGTACGAAGTGCTTAGTTCCCATAATTTCATTCTCAGCAAGATGGATTCCATTCAAGGAAAGTAGCAGTCAACATATCTAAGTGCTGAGTGTGTTGAGTCAGCGCTGACAACAGCGCTACCTCAACGTTGAAAAAAGGAACGAATTTTAACGAATGTCGAGATCAGCGCTGAGTCAGCGTTGAAAATTGGAATGTCCCGTTAGATTTTACAAATAAGTGTGCCGGTCTGTAAACGGCTCACGTATTTATAAAATCTAAGTCACTGTACAAAATGAAATTCATATAACACGGAATTATCTAGTGTTATAGGGGGTATACTGTACAAAATTTATATGCGGTGTAATTTTTTGGC